TTTGAACCGCCAGCCTTCTGGTTAGCAGTCAAGTGCTTTAGCCACTATGCTACCAGAGCTCCTATAGGGTTTCCTAGGCTGTAATCATTATGGAAAGGAGCTCTGGTGGTGCAGTGCCTAAGGTATTTGCCTACTAACCAGAAAGTTGGTGGTTCAAATCCACCAGCCACTCTGTGGAAGGCAGATGGGGTAATCTACTTCCATAAAGATTTACCACCTTGGAAACCCAACGAGGCAGTTCTACTCTGTCTTCCGGGGGTGCTGGGAGTTGGAATCAACTAGACAGCAGTGGGTTTCAGTTAATGCCCTCCAGGAGACCCTGAGTGGTGTACCCAGGTAACACACTCATTGAACGGAAAGGTTAAAGGTTCGCGTGCACCCAGAGGCGCCAAGAAGCAAAGTCCTGGCAATTTATTTCTGAAAAATCAGTCATTCAAAACCCAGGGGAGAACAGGTCTGGTCTGCTACACATGGGGGCACTGTGAGTAAGAATCAATGCAACGACAACTGGTTTTTATTTTTTAAATCTCTTCCAAACATGAGACACTTCGCTTCTTTCTCCTTCTGTGTCAAATCCAGAGCAAAACAAACCAACCAAACCAAACTCAATGCTGTTGAGTCAACTGGGTGCACAGCGACCTATCCTTGAGTTTCTGAGGCGGTATCTCTACAGGAGTAGATTGCCCAATCTTCCTTCCAAAAAATCGGCTGATGGGTTTGAACCTCCAGCCTTCTGGTTATCAGTCAAATGTCTTGGAATTATGCCACCAGAGCAGAGGACCAGAAAAAGACGGGGACTAGGTACCAAGAGATCCTTCTACTTCAGGCTTCATGACCTCAAGTAAGTCACTTAAGCCCTCTGTCTCACTTTCTACATTTGTCACTTGCTAAAAATATTTGACTTACTCATGTCATGATTTGTCTTAAAGATAAAGAGCAAAAAAAATTAGGTTATGGGTGAAAACAACTTCATGATTCTGGAAAGTCTATACGTGAAGAGGTTGTTTTAGGCCTTTCCTCTCTCGGGTCTTCAGGAGAGGAGGCTGGGGGTGTCAGCGCCATGAGATGCCTGGTGGGAACAGCCCCTCCATTACCTGGGCGATGAACTGGATGATCTTCACAAAGATGTTCAGCGGCATATCCCTCGGTACCACGCCACGGGACCCTTTGGGGAAAAGTGTTGTGACGATGGTTATAAGTCGGCTGAAAGATAAGGGGGAAGGGAAGACAAGACAAGATTGGCTAAGCTCCAGCTGTTCAAGGGAAAAGGGCAGACGCTCCATCTTATCTAAGGATCGAGAGGACTCAGGGAAAGGAAAAGAAACTGCCTCGGCCCTTCTCCGCTCACATAAATACTCCATGAAAAGATTTTCTGGAAAACAAAGGGCCATGGAAAATTACAGACAGTCCCTCAACTTACAATGGGGCTTTGTATTGACGACTCCATTGTAAGTTGGTTCTGACGTAGGTCAAGTACATCAGTTTTTTTTCATAGTTTTCATTATGATTGCCTTTTATTGTCAGTATCTTTATGAATCTGCTCTTCATTTGTCTTTGGGGGTTGGAATCATTACATGTAAACTTACAGATAGGAGCTCTGGTAGCATAGTGCCTAAGAAACTTCACTCCTAACCAGAAGGCTGGTGGTTCAAACCCACCAGCCACTCCTCGGAAGGAAGGTTGGGCAATCTACTGCCACAGTGATACTGCCTCAGAAACCCAAGGAGGGGTCACTATGAGTTGGGTCTGACTCGACGGCACATAACAAAAACAACATGCAGTACATATCCTAATGATAAAATGTACAGAAGAAAAACACAAAACAGATGTCCGTAAGCGCGGTACGCTGTAACTTGAACATGTTCGAGGTACAGATGCTGCCCTTTGTCAAAGTGGGGAGCTCAGCCCTAGCTCTAGAATGTGCGTATCCTGACAGAGGCTGTCGTTTCTGAAATGACCACAGCCTGGACAAGGTCCCAGGATTTAGGGCTCTGCGGGAACAGTCAGGTTTGAAGATCTTGTAGATGGGTTAGCACCGGTGGTAACAAAGAAATACCTGCCACCACGGGTGGTACTGTGGTCACCGTGGACCCAAGCCTGCTCCTTACCTCTGAGTAGCCGTGTTGCTTTCACACTTGATGCGAATCATATAAACCCACAGTAATCGGTACAAAGATTCCAAGGCAACTCGGGCCATCTTGGGGTCTTTATTCTACAAAAGAAACTGAGATGTCAGGTAGCCATGCAAACGGTGATGTAAGATCATTCTTCTCTGTATTCCGTCCACCACAAGCCACCCACTGCTGTAGAGTTGGTTGCGACTCACAGCGCCCCTAGAGGACAGAGTGGAACTGCCCCAGAGGGTTTCCAAGGCTGTCAATCTTTTGGGAAGCCAAAACCCACTGCCATAAAGTCAATCTAACTCACAGTGACCCTAGTGGACAGAATGGAACTGCCCCATAGGGTTTCCAAGTGTGAACTTTATGGAAGCAAAGCCCAAACGAACCCACTACCATGGAGTTTGACCTGTCCATCTTTTGGTTAGGAGCTGAATGCTTTTAACTACTACATCACCAGAGACTCTGTCCTCAGGCATAAGTGTCTTATTTATCCCTGAAATCTATTAGAATTTCTGGCATCGCCAAAGGATCAATAAGGAACCCTGATGGTGTAGTAGGAACTCCGGTGGTGTAATGCCTAAGGCATTTGACTGCTAGCCAGAAGGGTAGTGGTTCAAACCCACCAGCCACTCCTTGGAAGGAAGGTTGGACAATCTACTTCCATAATGATACTGCCTTGGAAACCCAAGGAGGAGTCACTATGAGTTGGATCTGACTCTATGGCAGTGAGTTTTGTTTTGTATTTTTTGGTGGTGTAGTGGTTACCTGTTAGGCTGCTAACCAAAAGGTAGGCAGTTCGAACCCACCAGCTGCTCTGCAGGAGGGAGATGTGGCAGTCAGCTTCAGTAAAGATTTCAGCCTTGGAAACCCTGTGGGGCAGTTCCACTCTGCCCTCTAGGGGCACTGTGGGTCAGAATGGACTCCATGGCAGTGGGTGTGGTTTGGGCTTTGCTCCCATAAAGACTGACAGCCTTGGAGACCCTGTGGTGCAGTTCCACTCTGTCCTCTAGGGGTGCTGTGAGTCAGAATCAACTCCACAGCAGT